AGAAAAACTCAATCAAAAGGATAAATGAAGGCGAAGAAGCTTCCAGCTTTAGCTCTCGTTTCTGAACCAACCTGTAAATCTTGAAAAATATCATCAAGACGTTACACCAGCCACTTGTGCTCCTACCCCGAAGAAGGTTGAAAAGAAGTATTTTGTTCCCTGTGTGGGCACAGAATATTTGTTCTCGCAACCAAACCCAAAACTCTGTGCTTGTCCAAGTGGTCATGGAGTGAAATACATTTCACTATGGTACGGGCAAGGATGACAAGAGACTAGATCTCTTTGGCAGAAAGAGCTTTTCTCCAGCCACTCTACTCTTCCATGTTGCAAACTGCCAGGAACCCACATCGAAATATGACATTATTAACTGTAACAATCTCTCGGAGTTCATCAGTAAATTACCCCAGGAATGTAGGCCCCAATTCTAGCTATTCTAGATGAAGGGATACTAGAGGCCAGGTAATCCATTCAGGCTTCACTGATTGCTGCAGACGTAGCTTCTCACTCCATGATGATCTTAGTGGTTGCTAGAGGGGCTTCTTGTTTGCAGGCATTGGGTTTCCCAAAGCATGTATGGGTGGTAGATATCCCCTTCAAAGGCAACAACCTTTTCACTGAAAGAACTGATGAATCACTTCACTCACTTAAAGACTCGGGTGCCACCCTGCATTCCTTTGGAATATACACCCCAGCACATCACAGAAAATATTCTAAGCTGCCACAGTATAGATACCAGCCAAGCGCACAGCTGCTCTATCCCCAGGAGTCCTATGAGCCACTGAGAAAGTGCCAGATGGTATAGTGTGCAAGACACACTGCACCACTGTTCCTTCTCCAGACACAGCTGTCTACCAAGCCGTCATTTGGAGGGACGATCAAGAGCCATCAACCAGTCCTCACACAACCAGTCTTCCCCACCCCCTTTGGTGGCCGCCTGGCCTGTTTTCTTCCAATGTGGCAGCACTTAACTACGGACAAATGGGTCTTAGACAACACCTTTACGCAATTGAGTTCCTGTCTACCCCTTTTCCAAAACTTCCCTCACCGTTCCTCTGCAAGGATTCTTCTCATGAGAGGTTTCTCAGGCAGGAGGTAGACTCCCTAATCCACCTACCAGCTATAGAGCCAGTAGCTTCTCAATGCAAGGGGAAGGGCTTTTATTCCAAATACTTCCCAATGCCCAGAAAGGAGGAGGGGTGGACCCATCCTGGACCTCAGGCAGTTGAATGTCTTCATCCACCACTCAGGATGCAGGCTGATTACCCTGGCTGTCATAATTCCCTCTCTGAATGAAGGTGACTAGTTTTCAGTTTTTGATTTAAGACATGCTATCCACCCAGCGCACCGGAGATACCTGCGTTCTATGGTGGGATGAGACCATTTCCAATAGAAGGTGCTCCACTTTGTCCTTTCAGCAGCCCCGCGGGTTTTTACAAAGGTCAAGTCTGTAGTGGCAGCACATCTATGCCATTAATGCTATCATGTATTATCCTATTTAGACATCTGGCTCCTCAAGGGACAGTCATATCAGGAAGTGCAAATAGGAGTCACACTGCGCACCCACAGAGAATTCTCATAGGGACCTCACATATTGAAGAACTCCAGTTGTTATAAGATCAGTAACCTTCCTTTACCTAGCATATATCATTACTAAATACAAAGGACCCAATTCTCCTTTATGCTGGCAGTGTTAAGGTGCCTTAGAATGGGCGCAAAACACATCTGCACTTACACCCATTTTAAGGCACCTTAACACTCCCAGAGTGGTGTAAAGTAACTTAAAAGGAGAATGAGGCTGTCACAGTCTGGGGTGCAATCCAGACCAGTGATGGTCTGTGTCACCACCTGCCCTGCAACCTTGGGTTCCTCCCAATGCTTTGCTGGTATAGCTCCCAACCTGGGCCTCTCAAACAGCATGCAGGTCACTCCCTGAGTGTCTGTGTATAGCTACAGCCTGCCAGCCACCCTCCAGTCAACACTTTGGCTTCCACCAGCCTTGGTTATCGCTTGCAGGATGGCCTTAACACACTCCCAGTTCCAGTTTTTTTCCCCAAAAATGTGTGTTGTGCACTATCCAGTCCTCTCCTGGACAGTTCAGATAGTACAGGTCCATGGCCCCTGCGAGGGGGTCAATGTATAACAGTTTGCTACTTTTACTGGCGTTACCAGATAATTCAGTTTAAACACAACACTGGATTAGTTTTGATTAAAGAATGAAACAAATTTATTTAATGATAAAGAGAGATATCAGAAGTGAGTACAGGTATAAGGTGTTAAAGTCAGAAATGATGACGAGAAATAAAGATAAAATGCTTTCTAGTAACTAAAACTTAACAGGTTAGACTTGGTTCAAGGTAAAATCCTTACCACGTGTTCCCTGCAACAGAGCTGACGAAATTCTCTGGTCAGAACCCCTCCCAAAGTCCACCAGGATGGTTCCTTTTACTCCGGAGGGAATTGTGCACCAAAATATTAAAAATTCTGCACACAATATTTTAAAATTTGAAAAATTCTGTGTATTTTATTTGTCAAAATAACACAATATAATCACACCAGTTTCAATTATTTTGGCAATTTATTTAAAAATACCTGTCAGGAAGTATGTCTGTAACAATACAGACAACCAAAAAAGATTTGGGATTTTTTATTTTTTATTTTTGGACAGGTTCCTTACTAGACATATTAATACAGAACTCTGAGTAATAATTAATTTAAACTACACTACTGAAACGTATTTTCCGCACCCCCTCAGAAGCCGTGCAAAGGCTTGGGGGAGTCAGGTAAGAGAGGAGCTGAGGGAGAGGGAAGTAATTGCTGGGAAGGAGCTTGGGTGTGAGGGTTGTTAGATATGGGTGGAAAAGTATGGAACAGGGTTTTGGGGGAGGGGACAGGAGGAGGGATTCTTAGGGAGCTTCCCCCATGCAGACCCTGGCTGACCTCTAGCCTCTCTAATTCAGTCAGGCACATCTGCCCATCCCTATGTGTCCTGCACCCCCATGTGTCCCTGCACCTCCTCCCCCTGTCCTTGTGTCTCTATGCCACCGCATAGCGGCCCCCTTCCCCCATGTGTCCCTGCACCCCGCCCCTGTCCCCATGTCTCTGTGCACCCACTCAGTCACCTCACTTCCCCCATGAGGCCCTGCACTCCATTCCCCCCGTGGCCCTGTGCCTCCACTCCCATTCAGCCCCTGCCCTTGTCTGTCCTCCACTAGCCCTGATGAACCCCTGTTTGTGCCCCCCCCCATGTGCTCATGCTGTCCGTCTCCCCATATCCCGTGTCTCCTGACCTGGACTGAGAGGTGCTGTGAAGAAGGCACTGCAGCCTTTCTCTTTCCTGTGGTAGCTGGGGCTATCTGGGAGCGGCTGCTCTGTTCTAGCGCCACAGCGCCCTCTTGTGGGGAAAAAGGCAGAACTGCAACAACTTTCTGGGTAGAAGTTATTTTCTGTGGGGGCTGGGAAATTATGCACAGCACTTGAATTATGTGTGTACGCTAGGGTGACCAGGCAGCAAGACTAAAAAATCGGGATGGGGGTGGGGAGAGGGTGTTAATAGGAGCCTATATAAGGAAAAGACCCAAAAATCGGGACTGTCCCTATAAAATCGGGACATCTGGTTACCCTAGCGCACGCAGTGGCACAGAATTCCCCCAGGAGTATCCTTTGTCATCTTAGGTGAATGAGAGAGAGAGTGAGATTCCCTGGTGTGTTTTTGCACCTCATTTTTATAGTCCAGTCCCCCTTTGAAGTGGATTCTTCTGAGGGTTTCCTCTCAAAGCAAAGCTTATCCAAACAGTAAAGAAGGCGACAGGAGTCTGGGGGTGAAGGTGCACCCATGCTTTTTTCTTCTCTCCTGTGTATGCTGACATGTAGATTTGCCTCATCTCCCTCTTGCTGTCTCAAGGACCCTGTTTACTACTTATAGTCACTTTAGGTAAACACATGCTCCTTTGTGTAAGATAGACCTGCTGCCTAATCAGGGCTATGTGGGTTTGAACATGTGCTACCAACCTCATATGGGGGAACTCATAACTCTACCTATAATGTTGCTACATACATTTCACCATGATAGTACTGACCAGTGAATGACTAGTTTTCAAATTATACCTCACAGGGCATATTTTGTGCAAAGATTATTACACAAGTATGTGGGGTGTGAATACAGGGTTGCACTTGGTCACATGGGCCCAAAGCTTTTGTTAATATATATTTGATGTGTTACATTACCCTCAGAACTCATCACTATTTTTGTAGTTAAAATGCAGAGATGGGCTGTCTGTGCAAATTTAAAAGATGAACTGCAAATGAAATCTCCAAAGTCCATCTGCTTCCACGATTTATGTTGAATGCCAGCACATAATACTGGTGAACGTGGACTTCTTTTGGAGTTCGTCTTTACGAAGTCCTGTACAGGGGTATCCTGTACAAACTAACGTAAATATAGTAACAACGTGGAGTTGGTCATGAAAAGTTGGCAGCAGATTCTAGAGGAACCAAAATACTTTGCCACTCGCAAGTCATTGGATGCGCTGTTTACTGCTTCCTGAAATGCAGTAAGTGTAAATGGGATGAGGGGAGTATTTCACCATATTGCTGTAACTCAAATCCAGAGCTGATGTTTATTTTCAGCATGTGCCTCCTTGTGTGTTTACATTCTCTTCCACACATAAGCAATATTCTTTTATTTCTCAGGTCTCCAGCTGTGTCACAATATAAACGGCTGCCCCTGTGTGCTTGTAATTTATTGTTTAGCTCTGTATTTTCTGTTGTGCTTCTGTGGCCTACTCAGATGCCATCAAGACTTCAAATTTGTTTCACATTGGCTTCATAGGACATTTTCCGTGACTATTTCCTTGTAGCATGCCACAAAATAGAAAATGTTTATGGTTCTGTAGAATAAGACAATTAAATGACTTCATCCACGCGTTTCATCCTTTCTAGTCTCAAAAATCTACCATTTTGCATATAATTATGGATGTTTTTCTGTTTTGTTTTTTTTGTAGAAGTCAGAGGGCAGCGCCTCTCCCACGTGACGGACAGCCAAAAGAAATGTCTCAGGCTCCGGTGCTTATTTCCTGCGCCGACCAGTGAAGCTCCACCTTATTGTAAAACATTGTGCTTTACCTAATATCCTAGCCTTGTCTTTACCAAGGGAAGCTAGTCAGTCCATATGATGGAAAATATAGACCTGCAAACAAGTGCTTCTTGCTGTGAGTGGCCCAGATTTCACTTGAAGCCAGAAGTTAGCAACTTGGGCCAAGTCCTCCAATTGGAACCCAGAATCTAGGAAGGTGGTGTTATTTGTCTAATAATGAAAAGAAATGGAATGATCCTGGAGCTTGCTTTCTATTGAAGGCTTTTAAACAGTAAATAGGTGGTTTGTGTGAAAACGGCTGCCTTTACAGTAGCTCACACAGCATCTCTTCTATCAACCAGAGGGTATGGAAACTAGTTTCATATAATACCTAGTTATTCTAAACAAAAATACAAAAAAAAAACACTGACGCACTGCACTAGTTATTAGATATTCTTAGTCATTTTTGTACATGAAGATTTAAGTTCTAAGATGGTTTATATAATAGGTTATGCCTACATTTATATTGTAGAATGAATTTAAAAACCTGTTCTGGAGAACATAAGGCAGCATGGACAGATGTACCATTGTTAGCGGTGTTTGCTCAACCATGTGGTCCAGATGTTCTGCACTTTTATATTTGCTACCACAGTGGTAGAGTTTACTGGCAAAAATTCTGACAGGCTGTGTTTGATTTTTGTTGTTTGTTTGTTTTTTTTAATTTAGCATTGAATAACTAGAATGATTTGCATTAGAAAAAAGAGTGGCATATGGGAAAGAACAATACTGCAGAGTATGGACTGGTCTTTCATGCATTGGAGGGTTCCTTTATTCTGCATAGAGGTCTAAATGACTGGGTGAAATGCTCATGTAAACAAAAAAAAGTACTACAAATACATTGTTCAGAAGTGACCTTAGTATTACTTCACTATTCTAAAAACCTTGAAGACATGACTTCAGTATACATGCACACTGATATACATACCTTTTACATTTGACAGACACTGGAATTGTTGTAATTACTATGCGCAATCTAAATTGGCTTTGTAGATTGTATAAAAAGAGCCAGTTATAGTTTGTGTTAGTAAAGTGGTAAGTTGTATGCAAGAAAACCAGGCTTGAAGAATAATGTTTGACTAAAGTTAGGCTATTAAGCAGAGATCCACCTGCCAGTTCCTGTCCTTTTGTTTTCTTTATGTATTCTGCTCTCATAAATACATCCCAAAAGCCAGCACCAAGTGTATCACTTGGACTATATCTTCACTATATTGACTTAAAATATTGCATAAGCCAGGTGGTTGTTTCCTACCAAGAGATGCAAAATGATTACTAGAAATTAATCTGAAGCTACAAATTCAACAGGGTACTTCTTTCATAGCACAAGATGTTTCCCTACGTTTTGCGTCATAGCACAAAGATTGACCAGATTGGACCCCAGCAATAACTTTCTATTAGTCTTCTTCATACTGGCTGAAGTTTTGATAGTATTAGGTTGAGTTTGAAGCTCTTGAATTAAGTCTTTAAATAATGAGAGTTTACATGGTTCTATCAGGCATTCTTATTTATACTTGACTGAATTGATGTGTTTTTTTGGGGTGGGGAGGGATTTGTAATTCTAATTTGATGTAATAGCCATATGGAAAGTAACTCTATTAATAGTTGCTAGATTTTAGCCTTTTGTTGCTGTAGATAAGTGCAGATCTTCAGTTTAAATGTTGGGAAATGCTATACAACATAACACACTCGTTGTAACAAATGATGACGTATTGATAAAAAGCAGATAGCTTGGAAAATATGATTAAAATGCATGTAAAATATCACCCTCAAAGATGCTGGAGGAGGATATGTTGGAGGAAGGGAAGAAAAAAGAAATAAACTTTAATAGTAATAAGAGAGTTAAAAGGCTTTTTAAACTTCAGGTAGAAATGAGACTGGTAAAGAACCCCTTATTATGCCATTGTAGCATGTGGCAATATTTTTATTAAAATTTTTATTAACCTTTTCTAAATTATTTTAACAAAACAGAAAAACTGTCAACATTTAAAACTGTTGGGTCACAGTGAGGTGGCTGTTGACGTTTTGGACCACTTTATAAATTATAATTAGCTGAAATCCAAATATTGTATGGTGCAGGCCATTCACCTTGACAATGGTACTAACTTATTTCTCTAGAACCCAGTAGAATAGATATATTTTTGCCAGAGCACCCCATCATTCTTCAATTTAAATTTCAGTATTGTTCCTTAAGATATTTCTGTATATTAATGATACCTTTTTTAAAAGAAAAAAAAATTACTTTTTTCTATGTGAATCAATATCTTACTTGATCTGCTTTTCCTTAGAGAGGGGTTAGGGCTGGGTCAATTTACTGGATATGACTGTTTTCAGATACTTAAAAACCTTTTTGTAGATATGCTTAATTTTTAAGCAGTTAGGCACTGAGAGTAGCAGAAATCCTGCAAAGCTTTATAGTTCATTAGGCATTTGCCTTTGTTGGTTCTTGGAGTGATGTCTTGATTTCAATAGCAAGAATTTTCCCTGAATCTACTGGAAAGGGTTGCAGTATTTTCAGGTAACAAAATTTGTTAGCACAAGAAAATTTCAGACCAACATTTTACTGTATTGGGTTTGTTTTTGTTTTTTAATTTTTATTATTTTCAGTTGCTTTCATTCTGGAAAATCGGATTGCTGTGGTATGTACTTCAGCAAATACTTTCACCCATTGACATATGTCCACAAATGCTTCTAGAGAAGAAATTGTTGCACCTTATGTATATCTCAAGCAAACCAAAATATGATGCTTTTCTGCTTTGTTTATTCTAATTATGTTGTATCATTCATTACTGAACTCATTCTCACTTAGCTAAACCTGTAGATATTTTTGCATTTAAACTTAATTTCTGGATCTGAACCTATGTATAAATCTTTCTTTTAAAAAACAAAAAGCAATTATCCCAGTCCTCTGAATTCTTGTTGGGAGTGAGGAATCTTGTCTCAAGTGTAAAATGCAGTACTGTTCCAGTTTTCTTTTGCTTTTATTTATTTGGTGATCTTTGATATTTTATGTGTAGTTTTGAGGTATACAAAGTGTATTATAGTAGCTAAAGCTACAGACATAAGCAGCTGGGAGAAAAATACTGTAATGTTTTTTTAATTGTTTCAGTACTGTAAATGAATACGGGAAGAATGTTCTGCAGAGCATTTGAGATGCAGGTTCTGATCCCCACGTTGTTTTATAGTCCAGATTAGACCAAAATTGATCAAAAACGGTATGGAGATTAAATCATGCTGTTGTAATTATGGCAGTATTTATCCCTTGAATGTGCTGTAATTCCAGACATCGAATATATTTATTTAAGATGCTTGAATGCTCTTTTATATTAATACAGTGTCCCAAAGTCATGAGCAAAGGATTTTTTGTTAGTTTCAATTCCCGGTTTATAGTGTCAGTGCATGAGTTTTCAAATAGAAAATAAACATTGGGTGCAGGGACAAGGGATTGACAGAACCATATGAGCTGGTATTTAAATTTCAACTCTTTTTTTGTCATTTTACCCCCTTATTTAATTGAGTGACACTCTGTCTATGTAGCATGAAACTGGTAGGCACTGTGCAGTCTTTGACTCTATGTATTGCCACTTTGCATCCATGTCAAAACCCAAGAGAGTTGTAACTTGCCCCAGAATAAGGACATACATTAATCTGGATGACATCTTTAATGATAAAGGGGACATCTTTTAGTATGAGGCATTAATGTGAACCAGTTCTAAACTGCCTATTTAGCTACTGGACAAATACTGGAATAGGCTCTAAAGCCATAAACGTGAGACAGTTAAGAGGGTGTCAAAGAAAAGAAGGCCTCTTCTCAGCATAGTGAAGTTATGGCAACAAAGGAGAGGTAAAAGGCTTTACATTCTGTAAAAGAAAAAATAGGATGATAAATAATTCATTGGGTTTGCATGATGCTATTGTGATTGTTGGCTGCACCTCCCCGATGAATGCTAATTTTAATAGGGCTTCCTCTACTAAAAGGCTACTTTAGTTGACTTCCATTTGCTTTCCATTTTCATTTTAAATGGAATGTAATCTGTTCAGCCGTCAATGCCATTTTTATATCATGGTATGTTTTATTTCCAAGAACAATATTTATACAGAGGGAACAGTGTAACACAAGATATACAGTGAAAGCTATTATGCTTTTGACTTGTGTCATATTCATATAGATTGTCAGACATTGTCATTTAGCTCTTATTGGTTCAATAAGATGGTTTTTGTGACAACAGAAAATGTAGAGCTCATCAGGTGATTAACTTCAGATATTCCCAAAGGAAATGCAGTAATCCAAAAGCTGCTTTTAATACTTAGTGGGTTACATTCACTATATCATGATTTCATCTGAAAACATAATTGTGCAACTCATATGTCATAAACCATGTTTTATCCATTAGACAATCTTTCCTGTGCTTGTTAGATTGTAGAGTTTCTAGATACCTTTGTCACATTTTGTAATATTTCCAGCATTGATTCTCTTTGCCTTGTACATGTATGAAAGAGTCAGCTACAACTGTCAGAACATGAAGTCATTTCAGGTCATACAGAGCTGTAAATTAATGCATTGAGGCGGTGGCAGAGAAGTTTGCCTCTTCCCCTCAATTCCCCAATAAAAAGTCACAGTGAGGTTTACACTTCTCAATTAAATACCAAGTTAGTCTTTCAAATTTTCTAATAATTAAATTTACATCTTTGAAGAAGAGTGTAGAGAGGACACACTGTACTTAAACTTGTCTGCAGCTCATTAAGGGAGAGAGCCAATTTTATCCCCTAATTCTGCAAAGTATGTAAACTCAAACTTACTAAACTCTTCAGCACATGCTTAAATGTTAAGCATGTGTTTGTGTGCTGTCATGACTGTGGATGTTTCCGTGAATTGGGGCCTTAATTCACATTGGACTTTAAACAAATACTAACATTTTAACATTCATTAAGATTTTCCAGAGAATTATTTGCTAATTACTGGATTCTGATTGTGTTATCAAGTACCAGGTAGAAACTCTCCGTATGCTTCAGTGGAAAAAGATGTGTTACCTCACAATCTGTAATAGAAATTACTTGCCTAAACATGCCTCCTAAAATAAGCCTATCCTTTTTACTCACAGAAGTAAAACAATCCCCCTTCCCCATCCCCTCCCAAATCATCTTCACACCAGTGGCTGGAACTTTGAAAGTGACCAAAGAAATGTATGTAATGCAGAGCAGTGACCTGCAACTTTTTCTGTATGAACTAGGTATTTTAGACTCGGGAGTTCAACTGTAAGACAGCCTGAGGTTTCTCACACTGTCTTATGAACTTTATTTTCATAGGTTTCAATCTTTCCCTTGCATATCAAATGGTAGGATGAGATTTTTCAAAGTGTCTAAAGTGAGTAAGGAATACAAACCCCATTGAGCTACTCACTTAGCCACATTAGAAAATCCTACTCCTAAACAGAGTTTGCTTTGGCCATCACGTCTTTCAGTCTATCAAGAGCTGAAACATGACTGAATTTCTATTGTCTGTTTTCATAGGGCCTGATCCTTCAACCTTTATTCTTACACATAATTCCATTGACTTCTGGTCCATAATTTGTCTTTATTTGCTCTAAAGTTTGGTGTAAACATGCTTTGTAGTAATTATTTCCATTCAGTGGTCTAATAGAGCTCTTGCTTCTTAGATGTGTGTCGTTAAAGTTAATAATCACATTTATAAAATGCCTTTCTTCAAAAACTTATACCTAATTTGATATTTTTTAAAATGCACATGTTAATTCATGTGTCTAACATGCTAAAGTACATTAACTGTGATCATGAAACTGAATAAAATATTTGAAAACAACCT